AGACTCCATCTCAAAAAAAAAAAAAAAAAAAAAAAAACAACATTATTTATCATTTTTAGTAAAACAGTAAGACATATTTTGAAGGTTGTTTAGGAAATACAAATGAACAAAAAGAAGGACATATTTTAAATTGCCTGTAACTCCACTGCCCAGAGACAGTCACAGCCACTGCTCACCTCTCTATCTTTTGCAAGTCATGGACTTCCTTGCCTTCTGCCTGTCTCACTCAACTGTGTGTATGATGATTTAAAGATGGCATGTTGGCCGGGCGCAGTGGCTCACGCCTGTAATCCCAGCACTTTGTGAGGCCAAGGCAGGTGGATTACCTGCCTCAGTCAGGAGTTCAAGACCAGCCTGACCAATATGGAGAAACCCTGTCTCTACGAAAAATACAAAATCAGCTGGGCATGGCGGCACATGCCTGTAATCCCATCTACTAGGGAGGCTAAGGCAGGAGAATCACTTGAACCCGGAGGTGGAGGTTGCAGTGAGCCAAGATCACAGCATTGCACTCCAGCCTGGGCAACGAGAGCAAAACTACGTCTCAAAAAAAATAAACAAAAACAAAAAATAAAGATGGCATGTGCCACAATAAGCAAAGAGGCCAGGGACAACCTGCCAACTGCCCTGGTCTTGTCTCCCATGCTGCACCCTCAGTTTCCAGATCCAGTCTTGCAGAAGTTGTCTTCTTCTTGCTTTAATCTTGCAAGATTAAATCACAGGCCTCCGGTAAGGATGTTGTGATAAAGGGACAGACTTCCACGTGGAAGACATTCTGATCCTGGGTCTGACTAAGAATTACTGTGGGCCTTTAGCTTCCAGCAATCAAAGAATGAAAGGAACAAAATCTATTAATTATTCATTTGATAAGTATTTACCAACTGCCTATTCTGTGCCAGTGTTCACATTATGTATTGCTGCATAACAAACCACTTCAAAACCAAATGAATTTAAACCAGAATGTATTATTACTGCTCACAAAGTTGTGCTTTGGCTGGGATCAGCCACGAGATTCTTGTCTAGAGTGTCAAGATCACAATCATATCGCAGCCGGGGTTGCAGTCATCCAAAGGCTCATCCAGGCGGGACACTCAAGATGGCTCCCTCATATGGCTGGTGCCTCAGTGCCTTCTGGACTTCCTCTTTTCATGTAGTGCTTTGCCCCCCAGGCCTTCCGCCCTTCACCTGGGCTTCGTGCAGCATGGTGGCTTCAGTATATCTGCTTCTTACATGATAATTGGCTTCCAAAGGTGGAAACAGAAGCTGCCACGCCAAAGTGTTATGACAAGTATGGGACAATAAAGGGTCACACCAGGAACAGGTGGAGAGTCACTTCTTCCATATTCTGTGAGTGCAGCTGTCACAGGACCTACCCAGATTCAACGAGGTGGAGAAATAGACTGTACTCTTGATGGGAGAGTGGCAAGTCTGCAGCCTGTCATGAGGGATACATTCCCACTGTCCAAACACCTCCTAGCAGGCAGGACCCAACTCCAACACTGGCGATCAAATTTCAACATGAGATTTGGGGAGGACAGGTATCCAAACTGGGTCAACTGGTCTCATTGTCAAGAGTCCTGAGTTCTATAGTGTTCCGTCAACACACACATTGCTGTTCTCTGTGTGACCCTGACAATTCACTTAACTTCTCTAGGACTTTAATTCCTCATTTGTAAAAGGGAGGCTATCTGGCCCTTCTCATAGAAGCGTTATGACAATTGGTGAGGTTATGGTAATAAAAGGACTTGGCAGAGGGTGAGAGTGAGTATTCATTTTTAAGGAGGGTGTTAATTTTGAGAAATACCCAATCTGTGAGCTATTTAAATATTTGGAAGTACCAAGGAACTAAACATGGTTCCATCTTTCCAGTATTCCTCCTGTAATCCAGTGCTGTGGTTTGAATGTGGCCTTCAAAACCCACATTAAACTTAGTTGTCATTGTGATGGTGTTAAAAGGTGGGACCTTCAAAAGCTGATTAGGTGGCGAGGGCTCTGTCCTCATGTATGGATTAATGCCATTGTCACCAGAGCTGGTGAGTTGTCGTAGGACAGGGCTCCTGATAAAATGATGCCTTTGGTCCAATTTTCTCTATCTCATGTACTCACTTGCCCTTCCACCTTCTGCCATGAGCTGATGTAGCACAAAAGCCCCACCAGATCCCAGCACCTTGATCTTGGACTTCCAAGCCTCTGGAACTATGAGAAATAAATTTCTGTTCATTATAAATTACCCAGTCTATTGTATTCTGTTATTGCAACAGAAAATAGACTAAGACATACAGCAACCAAAAGGAAATCATCAAATAGCTAGAAATGGACTGATATCATCAGCTTCCTCAGAAATACCAAAGTTAAACTGACATGCTTTTCAAGAGAGTGGTCACGAGCCTTTGGTCAAGGCTCAGCTTGCCGAGATAAACAACCAAGATGTAGTTTCCAGGAATCTGGAAGGGTTTACATGCCATACAAGGAGAAGCAGGATTTAGGATGAATCACTCTCTGAAACCTGGATTCAAGGCAAAGGAAGGGACAATAAAGGGTCACACCAGGAACAGGTGGAGAGTCACTTCTTCCATATTCTGTGAGTGCAGCTGTCACAGGACCTACCCAGATTCAACGACTCCATTTGTTCTTGCTTGGAAAAGCTCTCTGCCTAATGATGTAGTAAGATTAGCTATTGTTAATGAATCACTACAGAACTGCTACTAGGCAGGCCCTGGGCTAAATGTTTTATTATTATTTATTATTATTGCTATTATTATTATTTTTGAGATGGAGCCTGCACCCAGGCTGGAGTGCAGTGGTGCTATCTCAGCTCACTGCAAGCTCCGCCGCCCGGGTTCACATCGTTCTCCTGCCTCAGCCTCCCGAGTAGCTGGGACCACAGGGCGCCCACCACCACACCCGGCTGTTTTTTCTATTTTTTAGTAAAGATGAGGTTTCACCATGTTAGCCAGGATGGTCTCGATCTGACCTCGTGATCTGCCCACCTCAACCTCCCAAAGTGCTGGTATTACAGGCATGAGCCACCGCGCCCGGCCTAAACTTTTAAAATAATTATCTCATTCAGCACTCAACAATCTAAAGAGGTGGGTACCAATCACAGTTCCATTTTACAGATGAGGAAATTGAGGCCTAAGAACCCACAGTTATTATGAGCTGATAGCAGGATTCAGTCCTAGGAGGACTGGGTCCATGGCCCCTGAACATAAATCACTAATTATCCTGTCTCCAACTACCTAAAGGCTTACGGTGTCTCAAGACATAGGTCTTGAAGCCCTACTGTGTGCCAGACCCTAGTCTGAGTGCTGGTGTTGGAGAGCCAAGAAGGACACAGTTTTCATCCTCAAGGAGATCATAGGCTGGTGAGAAGAGAGATGGATGAACAGAGTGAGTATCCCAGGTAAATGTGCTGCTGGGTATCCAGAGGGATTGCTGCATGAGGAAAGTCCCATCTATCCTGGAGGCCTTGCCAAGAGCAGTCAAGGAAGGTTTCCTGAGGAGACAACCCCTGAGCCAGGTCTGACATCTGATCCACAATCACTTTAATACAGACATGAACAGCATATGTTCTTCATATCCACACAGACATTACTGCTATATAAGTATGACCTTCTGATCCATCAGTGTGACTGATCCTCCTAATCTGTTTATGAACATAAATCCAATCACCATTGGTAAGAATGGCTAGGTGGGCTTTCCTCAACCCCAGCCCTTTTATTTTTATGGTCCCAGCTACTCGGGAGGCTGTGGAAGGAGGATCACCTGAGCCTGGGAGGTCGAGGCTACAGTGAGCTGTGATCACACCACTGCACTCCAGCCTGGGTGAAAAGAGTGAGACCCTGTCTCAAAAATAAATAAATAAATAAATAAATAAATAATGAATGAATGAATGAATGGACAGAGCAAGAGAGAGAGGGAGGACACGTAAGAACCAGGGTTTCTAAAATCAGCTTCTGTCAGAAATTCCTGCCAGCACTTAGTAAAGGTCTAACACCCACATTTCATTAAAAATTAAACATTTATTATTAGGAGCAGAACTCTGATGTGCTTTTGATGATGCTGATGCCATAAGTAAAAGAATCTGAATTTTGGGCCAGGCGCAGTGGTTCACGCCTGTAATCTCAGCACTTTGGGAGGCCAAGGCGAGCAGATCACGAAGTCAAGAGATCAAGACCATCCTGGCCAATATGGTGAAACCCAGTCTCTACTAAAAATACAAAAATTAGCTAGGCATAGTGTCACACACCGGTAGTCCCAGCTACTCAGGAGGCTGAGGCAGGAGAATCGCTTGAACCCTGGAGGTGGAGGTTGCAGTGAGCCAAGATTGCACCACTGCATTCCAGCCTGGCGACAGAGTGAGACTCAGTCTAAAAAAAAAAAAAAAATAGGAATCTGAGTTTTGAAGAACAGTAGAAGAAATTTTAAAACCTGATATTGCTAATTTTGAACTGAATAACCCAGAGTAAGCTTCAATTTCCTCATGAATAAAAGTGGATATGATAATACCCAACTAGAAAGGTGAAGATGCCAGACACCACGGGCTCCACGCAGGGGCCTCTGAGAGGGCATGGTGGCCTTCCCTTCCCTATGGCCTCAGAAAACCTGATAGTCTGGCCTGACGGCTCCCTGAAGGTCGTGACCCTAGGAGAGGGATCTCCCAGGAAGACATTTCTTCCCTACTGAAGGGTTGCAGGAGGGTGGGCCTGAGACAAGAAGGGCAAAGGTCCCGGCAGCACTGAAAGAGGTTAGAGTATGCTGGGAAAACTAGCCACAGGCAGCGGCCCTTGGGGATTCCAGCCCTGGCCAGCCATTTTGCTGGTCATCACTGGTCCACGGGATTTCTGGATTTCATACATGTTAATTATTCTTCTCCTCTTATTCCCTATGTTTCAGCTCTGGGATTCTCTGAAAACAATGTGCTTCTCCATTCCTGTATATTCTACATTCCAGGTTTGGAATTCAGGTCTCCAGTCATTGTTTCTGGTTTCCATGTTGATGGCTCCTGTGTTCTTTCTTCGATAGCTGGTGCTGTCTCTTGGGCTATGCTGACCTAGGCTGGACTAATTCCCTTGAGCAGGCTCATATTCAGGTTCTCAAAACTGAGCCCAGTTTGCTGTAGGAGCTGTATGAACAGGTGTGCGTGTGTGTGTGTGTGTGTGTATGCATGCGTGCACATGTGTGTGGCTGTGCACATGTGTGCACACTGGTGTGTGTGTGTTCCCCTGCAGCGTGGCACCTTCAGTCAGCTCTTTCATTCTCTTCATAGCCTCTTTGTTAATACATTCACTCCCAATCCTTTGAAACATTTCATCTTTAAACCCACAAGAATGTTAAGATTCTATCTGGGCTTCAGGAATTATATATTTTAAAAGTCACTTAAGTCGCATAACTATTAACCTAGAAACATTAACATTTTTTAATCTTTCAAGTTGTTCTGTGAGCGAATTCAAAGGTATCCTTTTCTTTCTTTGTTTAGTAAGTTAACTAATCATTCAGGCATTGATCTTATTTTTGATGTTAAGAAAACCCACAGTACTCACTTGCACCATATAGGTTTCTGCTGGCTCTCAGAAGGACTTGTAATCAGGAGAAAAAAAGTGATGTTTTGCAAGTAAAGAAGGTAATTCTCCAGGAATGGAGTTAAAAGAGAGATTATATGTAAGTATTGCCTAGGAATGTGTTTGATACAGTAATTTCTTAATGTGATGATACAGTGTAAATACATTTTATTTGCAATGCCCTTGAAACAACTTATCGAGGCACTCTGCTATGGAATGAGATACTTCTCTCCTGGTTAAGAGAACCAAGTGCTCTAAAGAGAACTTAACATCTTTTTAAGGCATATATCTCCAAAAGAAAGGGAAAGAGAAGCTAAACCTCACTAATACATTGAAAACCTAGTGTGCTTAAATGAAATGGTTCAGTATGTTTTATCCAGATGAGGATATGCAACACAAAAATTTGATATGTGGAAAAATTGATATATGGATATATATATTGGAAAAAATTGGATATATGAAATATAGTTGTTGCATTCTAACTTGTTAGGATCCCTTTGATATTTCATGGATATCTAATCTTTTATTTCAGCTATTCAGGTATGTGTAATTTTGTAATAAATTTTATTAACATATTTTATAAATGGAAAAGCACATTTTAATGTTGAAGCAGAGACTCCTTTTAAAAATAACGTTTTTTGGCTGGGCATGGTAGCTCATGCCTATAATCCCAGCACTTTGGGAGGCCAAGGCAGGAGGATCGCTTGAAGCCAGAAGTTTGAGACCAGCCTGGGCAACAAAGTGATACCCTATCTCTACAAAAAAAAATTAAAAATCAGGTGTGGTGGCACACACCTGCAGTCCCAGCTGCCCAGGAGGCTGAGGTGGGAGGATTGCTTGAGCCCAGGAGTTTGGAGGCTGCCATGAGCTATGATCATACCACTGCACTGCAGCCCTGGGCAACAGAGCCAGACTCCATCTCTAAAATAATAATAATAATTATTATTTTTTCTATAAAAAGCTACACATAAATTTATTCAGAAGAATATAAAAGGCACCCATAATCGCAGTATGATGAGAACCATTATTAACATTTTGGTGTCATCCTTCCAGTTTTTTTATGCATACATTTTTTAAATTAGGAGATCATGACATGTATGCAGTTTTATGTCCTGGTTTCTTGTTATTCTTTTGTTTCTGCTTACCACATGGTGTGAAGGTTTTTCCACGTCATTACATTCTTTTAAAGTGTTGTATCATTAGCTACATAGTTTTCTATTGTATGAATGTACCTGCTATAAATAACTTGGGTTCTTCCTGATTTTTTATTTGTTTGGTTGGTTGTTTGTGTTAACAGTGGTGTGCATAGACTTTTGTGCATATCTGTCAGTAGTTCTCTGCAATAAAAGGTATGAACATATCCTTTTTAAAGCTGAGGTCAAATTACCCTCCAGAAAAGCTGCACCAATTAATACTCACTCCAGAAATGCGTAAGAATAGTGGGGAAGTTGAGCACGCAGCTCTGGGTTTAATCTTGGCTCTGCCTCCTCCAGTGATGGTGACCTAGGGCAAATTACAAAAATGCTCTCTTTTTCAAATATTTTTTAAAGTTTTTAAAGGCTAGTCAAGTGAAGCAGTGGGAATGGAGAAGGAACAAAGAGATATCTAACTGGTTGTGATCTATTAGTTGTAAACACCACTGCACTTGGACCAGCCTCATTACAGAAATTTTCTGTGCCTCAGACTCCATCTGAAAAATAGGGTAAATAAAGGTATCTATGCCAGGTGGTGGTTTTGCAGATGGAATGAGATTAAGTGCATAGCCTGTCAATGGCACATTGTAGGTGCTCAATAAAAGATAGCTATCATCAGCATCATCATGATCATCATCATCATCATTACCAGGAGAATCTTACAACCTGATTTTTCTACTTACTGATTTAATGCATTCGACAAATATTTATTGAGGGTCCTCTGTATGTCAGGCTCTGTTCTCTCCACCTGTGGTACATCAGTGAACAAAACAGATGAAGACTCTGGCCCTCATGGAACTCACATTCCAGTCAGGGGAGAGAGAAGACAAACAATAGATTATGAGCATCAAAATCAAGTAATTGAGCTGGCCATGGTGGTTCATGCCTGTGATCCTAGTGCTTTGGGAGGCCAAGGCGGGAGGATCACTCGAGACCAGGAGTTCAAGGTTGCAGTAAGCTATGATGGAGCCACTGCACTCCAGCCTGGGTGACAGAGCAAGAGATCATCTCAAAACACACACACACACACACACACACACACACACACACGCACAGTTATGATGACACCAGCCGGGGTGGAAGTAGTGAAGGTAGCCAAAAGTAGTTAGACACTGGATATGTTTTGAAGGTAGCACCAATGGGATTTTTACAGAGCCAGAATTGGATGTAGGCTGTGAGAAGAATAGGAGTACAGGATTCGCTCCACGGATTTTGATGAAACCACCTGGGGGGTGGAGTTGCCTTTAACTGAGATGGGGGATCAGGAGTTGAGCTTGTCTATTAGACATCCAAGTGGAGATATTAATAGATGTACTTCTGGAGTGTGGGAGAAAGGGCTGGAATTATGAAATAAATTCAGGAGTCATTGTCATCAGCATGGTGTTTTTAAAGCTACTTCATTCAGGTTGCTGTTACAAAATACCTCACAATATGACTAAACAAGAGAAATTTATTTCTCATGGTTCTGAAAGCTGGGAAGTCCAAGATCAAGGTGCCAGCAGATTCAGGGTCTGGTGAGAACCCATTTTCTTCATGGACATATGTCTTCTCACTGTGTCCTCACATGGCAAAAGGGGCCAGGCAGCATTCCAGGGCCTCTTTTTAAAGGGTACTGATCCCATTAGTGAGAGCTTTGGTCTCATGATGCCCCCACATAATACCATCGAATTGATTATTACTTTTTTTTTTTTTGAGATGGAGTCTCACTCTGTCGCCTAGGCTGTAGTGCAGTGGTGCCATCTTGGCTTACTGCAACCTCTGCCTCCCAGGTTCAAGTGATTCTCCAGCCTCAGACTTCTGAGTAGCTGGGATTACAGGTGCATACCACCACGCCCAGCTAATTTTTGTATTTTTAGTAGAGACGGGGTTTCACCATGTTGGTCAGGCTGGTCTCGAACTACTGACCTCAGGTGATCTGCCCACCTCAGCCTCCCAAAGTGCTGTGATTACAGGCTTGAGCCACTGCGCTCAGCCGATGATTACGTTTTTAACATTTAAATTTGAGGGGGATACAAACATTCAAAATATACGATAAGACTAAATAAAATCTCCAAAAAACTGTAGTTAGATCAAGCAAAGAAAAGTTCCGACGTCTATACTCTCAGATACTCCAGCTAGGTTGTGTGTGCCAGGTGCAGTGGTTCACACCTATAATCTCAGTACTTTGAGAGCCTGAATTAGGAGGATCACTTGAAGCCAGAAGTTCAAGGCCAGTCTGGGTAACAAAACAAGACTCCATCTCTACAAAAAAATAAAAAACTTAGCTGGGAGTGGGTGTGCTCCTGTAGTCCCAATTATCAGGGAGGCTGAGGCAGGAGGATTGCTTGAGCCTAGGAGTTCAAAGCTGCAGTGAGCTATGATTGCACTACTGCACTCCAGCCTAGGTAACAAAGCGAGACCTCATCTATAAAAGCAAAATATAAAATAAGGTTGGAGGGGAAGGAAGAAACAGCAAAGGAGACTGAGAAGAAGCAAGCACTATAGGCAGAAAACTAGAAGGGTCTGGTGTCCTGGAAAACAAGTGAAACAGAAAGAAGATCAAGAAGGGAGGACCCTGGCCGGGCACGGTGGCTCAAGCCTGTAATCCCACCACTTTGGGAAGCCAAGACGGGCGGATCACGAGGTCAGGAGATCGAGACCATCCTGGCTAACACGGTGAAACCCCGTCTCTACTAAAAATACAAAAAATTAGCCGGGCGCAGTGGTGGGTGCCTGTGGTCCCCGCTACTCGGGAGGCTGAGGCAGGAGAATGGCGTGAACCCAGGAGGCCGAGCTTGCAGTGAGCCGAGATCGTGCCACTCACTCCAGCCTGGGTGACAGAGCGAGACTCTGTCTCAAAAAAAAAAAAAAAAAAAGAAGGGAGTGACCCAAAGTATCAAATGCTACTAAGGGATTAAGTTAAAAGGAGGGCTGAGAACTGTTGGGTGGATCCAGCAGCCTCAGCCAAGGAGGGCAGATTTGATGGAATGGGTAGAACTAAAAGGTGGATAAGAGTGGGTTTAAGAGAAAGTGAGGGGATAAAGCTTAGAGACAGTGAGTACAGACATATCTGGAAAGCGTTTTGCTCTCAAACAAGTACGACAGTAGCTAGCTGGGGAAGTATTCATCAAAGGAAAGTGCAGTGTGTGCCGGTGCCTGCGTGCCTGTGCATGCTGAAGAACAGGAGAAACAACAGCGTGTGTGTCTGCAGATAGGAAGGATCCTGTAGAAGGAGAGAAAACGTTCCAATGTAGGAGAGAGAAGAACTGTTGGAACAATATCTTGGGTAGGCAAGAGGGAAAGCGGTCTAGTGCAAAGTGGAAGGATGGGTTTTAGATAGGAACACAGGAAATTCATCCATATGAAGATGTAGCTTCAGATGCTGATAAGTGGACAGAAGTGGTAAAGGCAATCTGTGAACATTCTCTGTATTGCCAGATTTTCTCGTGTACTTACTGGGTGCTCAGCACTAGGATGGCCATTAGGTCATCACAACATCTTTGTTGTGCCTTTGCCTCTCTAGGACAGTAATAACTCAGTACTGTTTGCAGGACTTACTAGATTTCATGTGACAGGGAAATGGTACCCATAGAAGGCTGAAGGGATAGTGGCTTGTCTCAGACCTCCCTGAATATGTGGGCCTTTCCTGGGGTCAAGAATTTGAAGCAGTTACTCTATCATCCATTACTAAGCATAGGTAGAATCTTGTGCTAAAAATAAGTATGCTAAAAGTAGAAAGTCCAGTACTTATCTGAGTTTTGTCAACTAAACTGCCAATGCCTACATCTACATATTTGGAAACATTTGTACCAACAGTCAGATATTTAGAAATACCAGAAACCTTGGCATCATTTGGCATTTTTACAACTGGATACCACTTATCTAGATATTTTGGTTTTGTGTGGACACAGCCAGGAAGCAGGAATGATCCATTTGAAATAAAACCTCTGTCCACAAAGATCTATCTCTGTCATCACACAGACATTAAAAGCAGAGAACACAGTAATCACTGAACCATGAGAAATAAAATATGATAATTTTACCTTTATCTTGCCCATGAAAATAAATATTCCCCTGTATTTATAGCTAAACTCTCACCAAATATTTATTTTGTACTTTAATTCTCATTCTAAGTAATTAAGCTATTCTGGTTTCTTCTGTTGAAGTAATTACAAATTTTTCTTTCATCTTCTTTTTCATTTTTGATGAAATCTTAAACTTATTAAAACCTGTCCACAATGTGGCTGTCATACACTCTTCAGGGTTCTCATGCAGCCCCATGGTGAAGTCAGCTTCATGTTCAATGCCTTTGGATTATGTTACTGCAATTCATTATGAGTTGTTGGATAAGATGCTGCAGCATAACCATTTCATTCAGTTTTTCTAAAACCCTGTGATTCTTTGTAGCCAATTAGGTATTACAGTAAGCTTCATCCATGCAAGGTACCATGACAAAGGACAGGAAAATCTTTTATCTATTCTTCTTTATACCCTTAGGAGCACTTTGCGATCTGTCGCCCCATGTTCATATGTACTTATTATGTGGAAAATGCCATTCGACTGAAGGAAAAGCAAAATTTTGGGCAGCAAGTTCCCAAATTTTTGACACTGATTTGTCCCTTTGGTGCAGTAATAACTCAAGGCTATTTAGATGACTTTCTATATATGGTCAGCTTCCATGTAAAAAGAAATGTTGAGAGGCAGCTAGTCAATCTGCCAGCCTTTTATTCCTTACTTTGTAGATCCCTCCAGTTTTCTTTAGATGATGCGAGTTTTGAGAGTTAAAACCAGTAAGGATACTCCTTGCTGTAACTACAACTTTGAATCCCAAAAATGTTGTTTATTACTATTTTTAAAATCACACACATATAAAAAGAAGAAAATTAAAAGTGTAATTGTCAGTATGTATTACTCATATTAGGTAGGGTAACACTAGCTGCTATAACAAATAAACCCCAAATTTCCATGACATAGCACAACAGTCTATTTCTTATTCATGTAACAGTTCAGGTAACAGTTTATTTCTTGCTCATGTAACAGTTCAGGTGGGTAACTAAACTGAACAGTTCAGTTTGGTAACTGAATGGTTGAGTTCAGACAGTGGCTGTTCCTCCACATTGTCATTTAGGAACCTAGACTCCTTCCAAGTTGAGGGTCTAATAGCTTCTGTTTCCTTGGAGTCCTCTGCACCTAGCTAACAGAGGGTGGAGGGGAGCACAAAACAAAGCCCCACCCCAGAAATGATACATCACTTTTGCTCACATTGCACTGGTGAGAATTAGTCATATGTTCTGATCTGAATGCAAAGGAGGCTGGGAAATGTAGTCCCTGATTGGACATCTGTGTCCAAGTGATAACTCTAAACTAAGGAAGAGGGAAACATGAGTTTCAGCCAGCCATCTCTGTCATGCTTGAGTTATGTCAGTACATTAAAAATATATATTCTGTAATCCCTCCTACTGTTAACATTTTGGTATATAGCTAACAAATGGTATCATACTCTACATGTTGTTTTATTAACTGAATATTATTCATACTCAGTATATTGAATCACATATGTCACATATATTTTAATGTACATCATTTGTGTGAACGGTGTGGCTGCAAATAGCAGCTGGGGCATTTCTCCGGTGTGTGTCTTTTCTAGCTATTATCAAAGACAGGGAACAGCATGGACTGGCAGAGTATAATGGCATGAGTCAGGCTTTGGGCTCAAGCAAATCTGGGCTCAAGTCCAAGCCCTTAACATTTGCTAGCTTGTAAAGACAGAGCAGCTCTTTCCTTAACCTATGAAATGAAGATACGAACTTTGGTTCTTTAGTTCTTCTTTTCTGTAAAATGGGGATAGCAGCTTATTTAAATGAAGTTGCTGTGAGGCTAAGTAAAATAATTTATGTAAAGAACTCAAATACTACCAAGATGAATGATACTTTATTTTTTAAATGTTGTAAGTGACTTTTATTTAAAAAAAAAAAACTTACATTGTTGGCATTGTGGCCTAGGTAGACAATATATAAAGTGAATTACAGCTTACATAAAGGTAACCTAGGGACATTTTTTTGGTTTTTGGTTTTTTTAAGGACAGGGTCTCATTATATTACCCAGGCTGGACTTGAACTCCTGGGCTTAAGAGATCCTCCTCACTCAGCCTTCCAAGTATCTTGGACTATAGGCACATCCCACTGTGCCCCACCCTAGAGATCTTGATGCTGATTCAGTAGGTTTCAGATTGGGCCCAGGAATCTGAATTCTTAGCAATTCTTCAGGGTCTGTTGCATATTATCCTAGGGACCAAAACCAGGAAACCCTGTTCTGTAGCTTCTATTTAGACAGCCAAATAGAGGCCAACAGATTGAGAAAAGCAAGACAGCAAATCAAGAGAGATTAATAAAGGACCCCCCAGATTCATAAGTGAAGAAAGAGATAAAAGGAACGTCTAATGCCGTGTCTCAAGAGGTTTGTTAGGTGTGACAAATTCTCATCACGTGCGATCATTCCAAGCATTGAAGAAATTCTGCACTGCTGTGTCCTGCCCACTAAATGTCAGTAGTGACATTTGTCAAACATAATTGTCAAAATGAAAAATATCCCATATTTTTCCAAATATCTTACGGGAATAGAATTACCCATGATTGAGAACCACTCATCTAGCCCCAAAGCTTCACCTTTTCAGATAAGGAAGGTAAGGCCCAGAGAGGTGGAGTGACTTGCTTATGGGCACACAGCCAGTTGGTGGTGGGGCTGGGAGCAGAATCCAAGTATTCAGCTCAAAGTTGAGGGCTTGTTTCCACCATATGGTCATGTCAGCTTAGAATGTTTTTAACTGCAAGTAGTAGAGAATCCAATTCAATATCACTTACCTGGAAATTGATCGATTCACCTCACTGAAGGCCCTGAGGTAGAACCTGCTTCAAAAGTATTAAATCCAGTGCCTGTGACTCCATGTGCTTGTGACTTGACTGGCTTTGCTGTCGTCTGTGTCAGCATCATCTTCAAGCTTGTGCTGATGGTTACAGCAGTGTCGGGCCTTGGATCTGAACAGCAATAGCCAAGCAAAGGGAGAAAGGGTCGCTTTCAGAAACTCTCCAAGGAAATGAGAAGTAACTTTCCTAGAAGATCCAGAAAACTGCTTCTCGAGTCTAAGTAGCCCACCTTGGGTTATGTAGCCATTCATGAACCAAATTCTTGCCAGAAATATGAGATAACACTTAGATCATCCCAAGAGCTGGGATGAGGTGAGTAACATAGTTTGGACACTTGTCCCTGCCCAGATCTCATGTTGAATTGTAATCCCCAATGCAGGAGGTGGGGGGCCTGGTGGGAGGTGTTTGGGTCATGAGGGCAGATCCCTCACGACTTGATGCTGTCTTCACAATAGTGAGTCTCATGAGATCTGGTCTTTAAAAGTGTGTGGTGGCCAGGCGCAGTGGGTCATGCCTGTAATTCCAGCACTTTGGGAGGCCAAGGTGGGCGGGGTTCGACACCAGCCTGGCAAACATGATGAAACCCCGTGTCTACTAAAAATACAAAAAATTAGCCAGGCAAGGTAGTGCGTACCTGTAATCCCAGCTACTCAGGATGCTGAGGCAGGAGAATCACTTAAACCCGGGGGCAGAGGTTGCAGTGAACCAAGATCGTGCCATTGCACTCCAGTTTGGGCAACAAGAGCAAAACTCCGTCTCAAAAAAACAACAAAAAAATGTGTGGCACCTCCGCCCTCACTCTCTCTTGACCTGTTCTAGCCATGTGTTGTGTCTGCTCCCACTTCACCCTCTGCCATCAGTAAAAGCATCCTGAGGTCTCCCCAGAAGCAGATGCCAGTGCTATGCTACCTATATAGCCTCTGCAGGTTAACTTCTACCTCTTTTCTTGTAAATTATCTAGTCTTAGATATTTCTTTATAGCGATGCAAGTACAGACTAACACAGTCAGCTTTCCCTGCACTGTGTTGACAGGGGTGGGTGAATATCTGAAAAATATCAAGTTTCTATAAGAAGAATGGACCCTCCTGCTGCTGGTTAGGCCCCCATCAGTGTTAACAATAATCATCTTGCATCATTTGCCACTTACACTCTCCCTCTCTTTTTTTTTTTTTTTTGAGATGGAGTTTCGCTCTTGTTGCCCAGGTTGGAGTATAATGGGGCAATCTCAGCTCATCACAACCTCCGCCTCCCAGATGCAAGTGATTCTCCTGCCTCAGCCTCCTGAGTAGCTGGGATTACAGGCATGCACCACCATGCCCGGCTAATTTTTTGTATTTTTAGTAGAGACAGGGTTTCTCCATGTTGGTCATTTATACTCTTAAATAGTTCTCCAGTTATTCAGTCTGCAACTGTGATGCCACATTCTTTGGGGTTTCCAAGGACTAGACAATATGCATAACAAACAAACAGAAATGAAGTGTGTTTTTTTGTCATATTAAACAATATATGGTTGCATACCTGATTTTATATATATACAATTTAGAGCTAGATTTGGCTGCATGTAACAGAAGACCCAAGAAACAGTGGTTTAAAAGACAAAAATTTATTTTCTTATACATGTAACAAGGCCATAGAAAAATAGGCCCAGCTGATAGGGTGACTCCACAATGATTAAGGATTCAGAATTCTTCTGCTTTGTTCTTCCACCATCCTCAAAATTAGGCTCCTTACTCTGTGGTCCAAGTTTGCTGCTCAGCTCCAATCATTGTGCCTACATTTCAACCAACAGAAAGATGGGAAGACCTAAAGAAGGGTGGATACTCCTTTGAAAGACATTTCCTGGAAGGAGCACATACAACTTCCATGTAGATCCCATTGCTGAAACTTACTCACATGGCTACACCTAGCTGTAAGGGAAGCTAGAAAATGTAATCCTTATTCTGCACCATTGATACAACCTAAACATTGGGAATTTTATTAGTAAGGAAGAAAGGGGAAAAGGATATTGGGGGTAGCTAGGAAACAATGCCACATATACATCAATAAAGAAACAATGAAATACAAGTTCTGAAAATCTCCATGACCACTGAAAAAATATATTTCAAGGATTACTGAACAGCCTGGCATGGTGGCTCATGCCTGTAATCCTAGCACTTTGGGAGAGTAAGGTGGGAGGATTGCTTGAGCGCAGAAGGTTGAGGCTGCAGTGACCTGTGTTCTTACCATTGCACTCCAGTCTGGGGAATAAAGCAAGACCCTATTTCAATAACAATAACAACAAGAAGATTTTTTCAACAGTACTTGATGCATAGTATTTGGAATTCTTGAGCCTCACTGTAAAGTCTAGCACAAGTGAGAGATGAAAAGTGCCAACCAAGGAGAAGCCAATCTACGCTCAGCTGCTTAAAAGTGAGCCTGGGGCTCATATTGCTGAATTACACATTAAGCACATTTAAAGAAAAAAGTGAAGAAATCAGGTCATTAAAAGGTAATTATAGTCATTGATTGTATTTTAGAAGAACAGTTAAGAAATCCAGTTCATATCCCACAACAATAATTCCCCATCATCTCAGCAGGGCATTCTTGCTTGCATTCTAACACTGCCTTGGAACCTAGTGGTCCTATTCTAAATCTTGATGCTCCTCCCTTTCTCAGAAGCCTTATTTTCTCTTTTCTCTTTCCTACCTTCTTTTTTACTCTGTCATTCATATCCATTCTCTATCTCTTTCTCTCTTTCTTCTCTCTTTCTCTGTCTCTCTCTTTCTCTCTCTTTCTCTGTTTCTGAGATGGGTCCTACCATGTTGCCCAGGCTGGACTTGAACTCCGGGGCTCAAGGGATCCTCCTGTTTCAGTCTCCTGAGTAGTAGGTCTTGGCCTGGGCCGAAACTCTGGGCATCATTTTCTCTACTTTGGATCCCAAATTCCCAGAAATCAGCAAGCCAAGACAGGACTTGGAGTTGGGGATGGGGAGAAGTTGACCAGAAAAAAGGCAAGACAAGGACAGAAGAAGGAAACAGGGAATGGGTGGGAACAGTCCCGCTTTGTGAAATCCTGTCTGCGACAATCTCTCTTGAGTCATATGGTCATTAGGGACATTTGTCCACACAGAAACTCCCAGTCTTCTCCCAGAGGAGATCGCCATGGACCTCTCTGAATTAGTGAAGATGCTGCACAGAAGCACTCTTCTAGGGCGTGGGTACTTTCTCAACACTGAGATAAGGATCTCTGCCCAGAGAGTAATTATGGGACAGTTAGAGATAATGCTAACCACCTATGAATATCTATCCGCTCTTCAGGAATAAGTCAAGAATAAATTTTTATAACAAATTAATTTTGAAAAATGAAAACAAAGGTAGGAACTTAGTGTATTGGCAACACACACACACACACACACACGCACACGCTATGAAACAGGTGACCTCTAGTCAAGATGACAGATTTAAAAAAAAAAACAGAATCTTGTTTCTACTTAAAACAAATAGAAAATTAGGAATTACCAAAATTACATGAAAAACAAGATCTGGAGAGAACACTTTGTCAGCCAGGGTTCCTTTGCTCAAGCAACAGAAAATGATTTTGGCTTACCTTACAAAATCAGTTATAAAAACTGAAATTTCAGTTACAAAAACTGAAAAAAAACCATAGGGCAAGAAAAGAGTTACCAGCCAATCTCACTTATGCATATATATGCAAATAGCCAAAATACAGTTACCCCTCAGTATACGTGGGGATTGGTTCCAGGACCTCCTGCATATACTCAAATTCTTGCATACTCAGGTCCAGCAGTGGGCTCTACTGAACTCACATATAAGAAAATGTTCTCCATATACACAGGTTACACATCCCACAAATAATGTATTTTCTTTTTTGTTTGTTTGTTTTTGTTTTTGAGACCAAGTCTCACTCTGTGCAGGCTGGAGTGCAGTGGCGCAATCTCAGCTCACTGTAACCTCGGTCTCCTGGGTTCAAGCAATTCTCCTACCTGAGCCTCCTGAGTAGCTGGGATTACAGGCACCTGCCACCATGCCCAGCTAATTTTTGCATTTTTAGTAGAGACTGGTTTCACCACGTTGGCCAGGCTGGTTTCAAACTCCTCATCTCAGGTGATCTGCCTGCTTTGGCCTCCCAAAGTGCTGGGATTACAGGTGTGAGCCACCGTAACCAGCCAAATAATGTATTTTCAACCCGAGATTGGTTGAAAAAAACTGTACCCAGTTCAAACTCATGTTATTCAAGGGTCAACTATAAAAGATTAGCTCACTGAATGCAGCAGTGAATTTTTTAAAACTTTAAAGATAAAAATGATGCTATAACTGGAGATGATACCATGCTATCACTAGACATTGCAGTCACTAGACACTTGATGCTCTTTCTTGTACCATTGCCATATATAGAAAAACAAAACAAAACTCTATATATACTTCCTTGATTCTTTGCTAATTTGCTCTAGGTTTAAAATACTAGGCAAGAGGCCCTCCTTTGCTGAAAACATAGCATTTTCCCAGGTCCTAGATGTTAATAGGTAGAGGAATGCATATGTTTGATCATTTCAGCTATTATAATGGAAGACAGGCTCTGCCTTTGGCCAAGACTAATACAACAGAAAATTCTTCAAACAGGAAGGTAGTTTAGATGTTAGACAGCAAAAAATAAATAAACAAACAAAAATCCATCAGAACCAATAAATATTAAAGACATTTTAAAAATCTCAGCTGGTGGGTAGAGAAAGAACATATGTCAACATAATAAAAGCCATACATGACAGACTCACAGCTAGTATCATGCTGAATGGGGAAAAACTGAACGTCTTTCCTCTAAGATCTGGAATACAACAAGCATCCCCACTTTTACCACTGTTATTCAACATAACACTGAAATTTCTAGCTAGAACAATGAGACAAAAGAAAAAAAACTGACATTAAAGGAGGTTCCAAGATGGCCGAATAGGAAGAGCTCCAGTCTACAGCTCCCAGCATGAGCAACACAGAAGACGGGTGATTTCTGCATTTCCAACTGAGGTACCGGGTTCATCTCACTGGGGCTTGTTGGACAGTGGGTGCAGCCCATGGAGTGTAAGCCAAAGCAGGGCAGGGCATCGCCTCACCTGGGAAGTGCAAGGGATCGGGGCATTCCCTTTACTAGCCAAGGGAATCCATGACAGATGTTACCTGGAAAATCAGGACACTCCCACCCTAATACTGTGCTTTTCCAACAGTCTTAGCAAAAGGCACACCAGGAGATTATATCCCACACCTGGCTCAGAGGGTCCCACACCCATGGAGCCTCGCTCACTGCTAGCACAGCCATCTGAGATCAAACTGCAAGGTGGCAGTGAGGCTGGGGGAGGGGTGTCTGCCATTGCTGAGGCTTGAGTAGTTAAACAAAGAGGCCAGGAAGCTCAAACTGGGTGGAGCCCACCACAGCTCAAGGAGGCCTACCTTCCTCTGTAGACTCCAACTCTGGGGGCAGGGTATAGCTGAACAAAAGGCAGCACAAACTTCTGCAGGCGTAAATGTCCCTGTCTGACAGCTCTGAAGAGAGTAGTGCTTCTCCCAGCACAGAGTTTGAGATCTGAGAACGGACAGACTGCCTCCTCAAGTGGGTCCCTGACCCCCAGGTAGCCTGACTGGAAGACACCTCCCAGTAGTGGCTGACTGACAGCTCGTACAGCTGGGTGCCCCTCTAAGATGAAGCTTCCAGAAGAAGAACCAGGCAGCAACATTTACCGCTCTGCAATATTTGCTGTTGTGCAGCCTCTGCTGGTGATACCCAGGCAAGCAGGGTCTGGAGTGGACTTCCAGCAAACTCCAACAGACCTGCAGCTGAGGGTCCTGACTGTTAGAAGGAAAACTAACAAGCAGAAAGGACATCCACACCAAAACCCCATCTGTATGTCACCATCATCAAAGACCAAAGGTAGATAAAACCACAAAGATAGGGAGAAACCAGAGCAGAAAACCTGAAAATTCTAAAAATCAGAGTGCCTCTTCTCCTCCAAAGGAACAGAGCTCCTCTCCAGCAATGGAACAAAGCTGGACAGAGAATGAATTTGGCAAGTTGAGAGAAGAAGAATTCAGATGATCGGTAATAATAAACTTCTCCGAGCTAAAGGAGGATGTTCAAACCCATCGCAAAGAAGCTAAAAACCTTGAAAAAAGAATAGACAAATGGCAAACTAGAATAAACAGTGTAGAGAAGACCTTAAATGACCTAATGGAGGGGAAACCATGGCACGAGAACTACGTGATGCATGCACAAACTTCAGCAGCTGATTCGATCAAGTGAAAGAAAGGGTATCAGTGATTGAAGAACAAATGAATAAAATGAAGCAAGAAGATAAGTTTAGAGAAAAAATAGTAAAAAGAAATGAACAAAGCCTCCAAGAAATATGGGATTATGTGAAAATACCAAATCTACGTCTGATTGGTGTAGCTGAAAATGATGGGGAGAATGGAATCAAGTGGGAAAACACTCTTCAGGATATTATCTAGGAGAATTTCCCCAACCTAGCAGGGCAAGACAACATTCAAATTCAGGAAATACAGAGAACACCACAAAGATACTCCTCGAGAAGAGCAACTCCAAGGCACATAATTATCAGATTCACCAAAGTTGAAATGAAGGAAAAAATGTTAAGGGCAGCCAGAGAGAAAGGTTGGGTTACCCACAAAGGCAGGCCCACCAGACTAACAGTGGATCTCTTGGCAGAAACTCTACAAGCCAGAAGAGAGTGGGGGACAATATTCAACATCGTTAAAGAAAAGAATTTTCAACCCAGAATTTCATATCCAGCCAAACTAAGTTTCATAAGTGAAGGAGAAATAAAATTCTTTACAGACAAGCAAATGCTGAAAGATTTTGTTACCACCAGGCCTGCCTTACAAGAGCTCCTGAAGGAAGCACTAAACATGGAAAGGAAAAACCGGTAGCAGCCACTGCAAAAATATGCCAAATTGTAAAGACCATCGATGCTAGGAAGAAACTGCATCAACTAATGAGCAAAATAACCAGCTAACATCATAATAACAGGATCAAATTCACACATAATACTATTAACCTTAAAT